CCCCAAAACCCCAAAACCCCAAAACCCCAATATTTTACCTAACATTGAGTAATTATTACTTATCAAAATGCCAAGACAGAAGAAGCAAAGAACTAGAAGGTCAGCCAGCATACCTTAATCCTGCCGATAATTAAGCCCTAGCTTGCGTAGTTAATCTGTACATAGAGGTAGGAAGCCTGCCCCAACAGTTAAGATCAAGGTCAAGCATAATTTACCACAAAAAATGGTAACTCTGAATCACTTAATTTATAGAGCAAAAATAAGCGCAAGAAAATTGTTGATGACGAACAGATCCAAGGCACTTCATATGGAGATGAGTCCAGTATTGGTAAGGCCATCATGACTCTTACAGACATAGATGATGTAACTATTGATAATCTACTAGAGTCACGCCAACCAGTGGTGAGTGAGCCAAGTGAAGAAGTTGCCTGTAATGAGTTGTATAACAAACTAGTGTCAAATTCCAGTAATCCAAAGGCCTCCCGATCGGGGTAAGTTTCCTCCATTTATCAGTTCTCATTCTAATTTTAGGTACAATTTCATATCCAAGGAGCCTGAGTTCTATGAATATACAGACTTTGAAAGACTCAAGCAAAGAATAGAGCTCAGAGCTACAAATCATGAGTCATATCCAGTGAAATATGTAGGCTCTTCAGCAGTAAAATGTCTGTCACGAAATTTAAGATCATGGATTGGTAAGCCAAAATTCACTAAGATCTAGACCACATCATCATAAAATGAATCGAAGCCTCTCGAGCTTCGAGGGTTGGAGATGAAATTGTGAGTCCAAGTAGCATCCCAGGCACTATCAGTTTCTTTAAGTATAAAGCAATGAGAGAGTTCGAAGGAGAGAAGGATCCAGAGCTTCTGACAGTCTGCACTAACAACCCTTTGGTAAGACTCTTGAATCACATTCTAGTACGACTTTTTAGCTGAGCATGGTCACTACGAGAAGAAATACGAAGAAATCATTGCTAACATTAAGAAGAACAGGTTTGATCAATTTGAGGCTAGGCAAGTCTTTGATTTTCTGAAAAAGAACAAAAATGCAAGATTCACTAAGGAACAAATTAGCGATGTAATGAAAATCATAGAGTCGCGTAAATACGAAGAGGCTGAGAAGAAAAAGATAGCAGCCAAGCACAGAGTTGATCTTACCATGGACCCTAACAAAGCGATAGAGCACTTTACTAGAATGGGTCGCCCGAAGAAAGATAAGAAAGTCAAAGATATCAATCAGGGAAACCCAATCCCATCACTAGACTCATTGATTGATCCCAAGGACAAGGGAGCAGTCGGTGAGTTGTTTCCCTCAACAGTTGAGCCAGAAGTTTCTGCTGTAGGTCCTGAGAAGCGTTTGAATATTCACCACTCATTGAGCTTAGAGGCTGACCATGATCAGGTCAAATTCTTAAAGAGTCAGCAGCTATACCATCGTTCACATGCACTGGAGTTCCATTCTGTTATAAGGTAAGGAAGGTATTGTGATTTTGGTTGTTTAGGATCAGACATTTGATATATGTGCTAGAGCAAATGGGCATGCAAGATAGTGAACTGTATTATAAGGCATTGGAAAAACAACAATTTGATAGGGATTAAATGAAGTGATAAAAGAGGAGAAGTGGGAGTTACAATAGCTAATAGATTAACGAAGTTGATGATAAGTCTGACAATTTCAAAAGCTACTCTAACTTTCTAGAACCTTATTAAATTTCTTCTCTAAACGCTTAAATTCAATTGAAACATCTCAAAAAGGGGTTTTGGGGTTTTGGGGTTTTGGGG